AAAATATAAAACCAAAAAGTTTTATATTAGTGTAAGTTGTTCTTTTCTCATATAAAAAAAAATGCAATATATGTTGAATGTGAATGAAATTCCCTTCATCAAATCTGCTTTGGAAATTCAATCAAAACTCATGTGAAGTACTATGAAATTTTTAAATGGGTATTAAAAATGTTTTTATAATTTACTAAGATTAGGTTTTTTCCTAACTTATGGATTAGAACTTGAATTTATTAAAATGGAGTGACATGTATGACAACTATATAAGGAAAAAAAGGTGAATGTGATTGCTAAAAATTTAGGCTTGCTATAAGACATTGGTTGCAACGTTATCAACACACATATGACTTACATGTGACCTTACATATAACAGTCATATGCACATCACAACCTAAAAAAGTATAAAAGGAAGTCGTAAGAATCAGACTAGGGATGCAACAACACCTAAACTTTAGTGCTTTACCCTCCTATCTTTTTAATTACTTTGTTTCATTTCATTTCTTTAAAGACTTGATTGATTTGAGCGTCAGAGTGTATCTCTAACATATCCTAATCTTTTTTTCTTTGACGAGTCTGACTAATTTATCGACTCAATCTCTAACTAGCGTTACTCTTATCGGTCTTGAAAGTGCATCAATATGTTTCATTTCTTTCTTTCTTTGTTTTTTTTTCTCCCCTTGCCTTTCCCATCTCCTTCATGAGGCAATTTTTTTATTACTTATATAAGTTAGTTTAAGAGGAGTTAATATATAAAGTAAATTCATTCTTAACACAACTTGAACATAATTAATTATATTAAATACAAAGCATCATAATATATTACTAGTTATTATATAGTGTGCAATTAACATGTTCCAAAAGTGGATACAGATCACTAATTCTTTTAATTAGTCATTGTGCTGCATGATAGACAAACCTGGATTTATCATTATTTTATTGATTTTAAAATTGTAAATTTGCGATCCAACGCAACTTGCATTACCTTTCCCAGCATAGGACACTGGATTATTGACTAATTGCCGCAAGTGATGGATCTCCCATAGACATTGACTTCATCATCATCCAAAAATGGCAACTTAAATTTTATGATGCAGTTTTATTTAGCAAGTTGAACAAAAAAAAAAAAAAAGACTTGAATTTGATTATGTTAACTAAACCATATATTTGAAGACAATTTTTTTTCTTATTGTAAGTGGTCTAGTTACAATAATAACATCTTAATCTAAACATATTAGTCGGATAGAATTAAATTTAGTTAATTTTTCAAAAGGTCTGTCCAAGATTTTCCACAATTCCTCAAGTTTAGAGGCTTGATTTTTTATAATTAAGAATCTTCTCAATAAACCAGTTTCAGTCTCACACTTATTATTGTTTAGTATTGCGTTTGGATTGAAAGTAGCTGTTAAACATAAAAATTATTTTCAACAACAATATTAAACGAGACCTAAATTGTTTTTGAAGCACTTGAAGAAATGGGATTTCAAGAGTATGATTATATCAAAAGTTTTTATCCATTCATGTAATAAATAAGAAGGATGGAATGCATTATATCTGCTCTTTATGATTAATGTTTTTAACTAAGTTCATAAAAGTTAATAGGACTAATTAAACTTTAGACCTCTATTTAGTAAGATAGTTTACAAACCTTTTGATTTACATATATATATGCTTACAAAAGAAAGCACCAATTATTTGTCCCATTCAACAATATAATTATATTTTTTGTACATTTTATAAATTATCTTTGAATATAAGGATTATAACAAATAAGCAATGTCCACATTGATGGCAAAAACAAGTTTACACTAATCTGTAATTTATTAGCTCCAAACATATATAGTAACATCTTACCTCTTAAAAGAAAAAAACCTAAGACATTTCGAGTTCAAATCCTTCCTCCAACATTAATTACAATGAAAATTAAATAACTAATATATATTTTATTAAGGAATTAACATGCACAAAATAAAGTTATATGTATAGTTATGTACCAAAAAAAAAAGGTTATATGTGTAGCTAGTTATGTTTATAAGGAGCTAATTTAATATTTCTTTTCATACAAAAATTTGAATAGTGGAATGGGCCATTTGAGCTTGAAATATTTTTTTCATAGGTAAGTTATGATTACCAAGAAGCATATATCCTTATTAATCATGATTCAATTTTGTGAAGAGCACTTTGAAAGTGAAATCTTGAATATACTAAATTGATGTGAGAAAATACACCTTAAAATCATCAAAAAGGGGATTAAGTCCAAATAAAACTCGATGAAACTCTTGATCTTATTACCAATATATATATATATATATATATATATATGAATTTCTAATGAGTTGGTAGTTGATTATGACAAATGGCCAATAATTTTATCTGAATATATGATTTTCATTATTGTTTTATCTAAACAGCTGGATTCTTAATAATATAAGAATCACCCAACAGCAATTTGCATTAATTAGTCGTTGGACTTAACTCTAAACTAAACCTAAAAGAAAGAGCATTCATATGATGGTAATGCATCTCATCATTTCAACGATTAACTCCAAACTTCATCCTCTTCTCTTCTTTTATTTTTAATAAAGAACACATTTCCCTTTTAACTTTTTTTTTTTTTCACAATATTGATTAATATCTCTAAGTAGAAGCAAGAACTTACCTATTGGCACCAACGGGAACATGTGATTTACTTAAAAAAGTATAAGAAATACGATTTATAGATATTATTGCAAAGTAATATAGTTTTTTAATGCATAAAAAATTAATTTTATTTTTTAATGTGAGTATGTAATGTTTTATTGTTAAATTTAATGCTTTCATTTAATACTGATGATGATCACGGGTTTCAGATGAGCTGATGGGTTGACAGTGATACAACTTGGGAACTTGCATTGTCAGAAAACATAGGAAAAAACAGAGACGATCAGGTGCTTGCCTAGCCTCATACTTCTTCTTAACATTGAAAAAACAAAAGAAAATAAAGGGAAGAAGAAAATTATTTGATATTTCAGGATTCATCGGCAGCATCAAAAGTTTTTGGATATTTTCGCCTGGCCCTGGAACTGGGAGTTTTTTTTGAGTGCTGATGCACGGTCTCCAACATCCCAGTTAGGAAACCTTAAAAACTAAAAAGGGCAATCCATTTCCCATTCCCCACATCTTTTTCTGACACGTGGTGGCGCATTCAGTTCAGTCAATTTAATGACCCAAATCGCCTTCAATGCCAGATATGTCCCTCTGCTCTACCTGAAATGACGAATATGTCCTTTAAAAATAATGAAGAATGGTTTTCCCACATCGAACAAAAGAGTTTCAAAATCATGGTAGGAAACGACGTCCATAATCATCGCAGATTCTATGCCTTTTTTTATTGTCTATTTCATATCTTTTCAAGTGAAATTTCATAGTCTCACCAACTTTTTCCATGACCATGATCTTGGTTTGACTTAAACTAAATTGGAACAGTGCCAAATCCCACTATGTTCAGTTTTTTCTTTCCTACATTTTTTTTACTCATTTATTTTTTTCTAAGGTAGTGGGCTAGATATCAAAGAATTTTGCTTTAATTGGATAAATTTAATGCTTAATAAAATAATTAAGAAGAATGGACTGTGGCTTGACAACTTGCCAAACAAATCCAAACTTTTACCCATTTTGAGAAAGTTTTTTTTTTATTATTTATTTTTGGGTTTTTTTAGCCTTTTTTTTTTGTGGAGAATATGAGGCTTTGGCTGGAGCAAACTGTTGAGAATTTTGTTTGATGTCACCCTATGAACTGAACAGATTCCATCTTTCTTTTAGGAGATCATAGATTGCCCTAAGTTTGGCCAACAATAATTGTAATTTGTCCATAAATTCAAGCCACTTTCATTAAAAAAAAAAATGAAAACACCAGCCCAAAATAAGTTCTCTTATAGATTTGACCAATTAGTAGTTTTTATTTCAAAATTAATCGCTTTTTATGGTCATTTTTAGTAGGTTTTCTATGGTTATTTCATTAGCCTTAATGAAATGGCGTTCTTAAGATATATATGTTTGGTTAATTTTTTTAATAATCAACAATGAGAACTTTTGATTTAAAAATAACATTCGAATTCTCTTGGCATTCTTTAATTTAAATCAATTGTATAAAAATTATAACAATTGAATTTCACTTTCACCAACAAATTGGAGATTAAATGGCTATTTTGTTATTAATCATGTCCTATAACATTTGTACCAACAACAAGTAGATTGAATTTTAATTAAACAATTAAAATAAATCAAATTGGCTTTTTTTTAATAAGAATAACAAGAGTTGCAGGTATTAAAATTTAAAATTCAAATTTATTAAATTTCAACTCTTAAAATTAATTGTAAATCAATTGAATTAAACTTGACTTATTTACTTTTTAGGCTTATAAAAATATGACTATTTCCATTTTGAATCACAAAAAAGTTTACTATAGTTACCAAATTTGAAATTAAAAGTTTAATTTAGTTTATTTATGTAATTATTCTTTAAAAAATCCAGTATATTTAATATTCAAATCATAATATTTATAATTTTTTTATTATTTTTATATTACGATTTTTTTTTGTAAAAAAAATAACAAATTTGAATTGAACTTTGCTAAATTATTGATCTTTGAAGAATTGTTGTACCCAATACAGGGGAATAAAAGAATTAAAGAAATTCGAGCCAATTGACTTCTTTAAGTCTTATAAGATCAATTAATAAATATATATTTGTTGCATTTCCACGCTATGTTTATTATTGGTAAAAAAAAAAAAAAAAGATAGTGAGGTGGTTGTCCTTCTGTAAAAAGACAGCTTCTACCCCCCGGCTGTCACATTAGCCCACTCCCAAAGCCGCATCGGGGGACACAACGGCCATTCTAATTTTTTAATTCTTGAAGGACAACAAATTTGAAATTTTGTTTAAGAAAGAAACTTTCCCCGAATAGAAAATACGATGTACGAATTCGAAGCCCACGCGTCGGTCATCTAAACGAGGGAAGGCTCTTTCCCCAAATCAAAGCGATTAAACAAATTCTTTGGAATCCTGATTGGTCCACGTGCCCCAAATCCTGTCCAAAACAGCTAGCGGTTTCTACACCAAACCGCCGGTTCTCCTTCCTCAAAAACTTTCCTTATATAGATGGTTTTTTCTGCTGATGATAGTCAAGACCAAAACGGTGTCTCTAATCTCTAAAACCTCGGTTTGTCTCCTTTATCTCCGTTTCTCACTTCCTCTCTAAGTTTTTCCCCTTTTCTTTTCAAAAATAAAAAGCAAAAAAAAAAAAAAAAAAACTAAAACGCCGATTCTTTTTGTTTTTTTCTTTTTTTTGGTAAGCTTTATATTATCCCTCTCTCCCTTTTTATCGAACATCGGGAGTTAAATCTTTCTTTTTCATTTTTTTGTTTGGATAATTAGAAAAGAGTAATCGTCTGAGTTCTGCGCCGAGCTAAATCTATGGGGAGAGGGAAAATAGTGATAAGGAGGATCGATAACTCGACGAGCAGACAAGTGACTTTTTCGAAGCGAAGGAAAGGATTGCTGAAGAAAGCTAAGGAGCTCTCGATCCTGTGCGATGCAGAAGTTGGAGTAATTATTTTCTCCAGCACTGGAAAGCTCTACGATTTTGCTAGCACCAGGTCCTTTTAAGATCTCTTATCATCATGATTTTTTTTATCACGTTTAATTATTCTTTTAATTATCATAATTTTTTATACTCGCTAGCTATTATTTTCATAGATAATATTTGTATGTTTCTTCATAGAAATTTGTTACATATAATATTTGGTTAAATGTGACTATAAAAGGTGAGCTTAATGTTGGAAAAAAGGTAGGGAAATTTAAATGCAAGAATTATTAGTTTTGATTTTATGATTCGAAAAAATGTATCAAATTTACTGTGAATTTGGTTAGAGTACTTGCCTTTAATTGTTCATCTTCGATTCGTTCGAAAGGATATAGCTAGTTTCATAACTTGGAGTAGGATTGCCAGTTAGAGAGATAGTAATTTGAATTTACTACTAGACTTGATGTTTCTGCAAAGACTTGCTATGGATTATGGAAGGGTCCGTACAAGTCGAGTATAATGAATTAAATTTATAAATTTCAAGAGAAAATTTCAACGTTAAATCGTAACTTTTCCGGTATAGTTAAAATTAGAAGGGTTCAAAATTTGAACTGTGAGTGAATATAATCTCTGTAGCTAATAATTATAATAAGCTGTTGGAAAACTAAAGAATATAAGGGTTGAATAGTGTCATCACTATTACTCATTGAATTCCTATTAACTGAAATGACTTTTTTTTGTACAACATAGAGGCAATTCCAATCAGTTGAAAAGACCTTAAATATTACTCTCCTTTTTGTTTTTTAATCTTCCACAAAGACACCAGATATAACTGATCGAGAAAACACCTAAATTTGTAGGAAAAGTGAAAGAAAAAGATGGATTTGTATTGCAAAACTTGAAAGCCCAATTATCAGTAAAGATTCCAATTAATACAAGGGTTCCAACCTTGCTGTTTTATAATTAGATGATATTTAGAATGATATGTAGCACAAGAATTGATATGGGGAAGCCTCAAAATCTTTGTTGAAAAAGGTCAGTTTAGGAAATCTCAACCCCATCTAGGTCATCACTAATTGTCATGAAAGGAAAATCAGAAGAAAGAAGCTGAAGAAAAATGAGGAAAAGAAAAAGAATAGATAATGGTGTCAACAGTTCTAGTATAGTAGTGACTAGTATATGAAAGTTATTATAAAATAACTTGAACTTGGCTACTTACAAGATACTTATCTGATCCAAAATATAAGCTGTCAAAATTTTTGTCTGTACAATGAATGTACACTTAATCCTGAATCCGAAGTAAACTTGTCCATGAGTCTGAACTTGTGTTTTGGAGTCAAGATTCAATTCATAATTTTATTTTATTAATAAAATTTATTTTTAATTTTAAAATATACTTACAAATATTAAAATATTAAACTTTTAATATATTTTTTTAAAAAAATTCGAGCCTTTAGGCTCAACAAATCGAATGTTAGGCAAATCTTTTGAAAGAACAATTAAGCATGGACCGATCTAATTCTTAAATAGATAGGTTAAACAGGAAAGGGATAAATGAACCAGACTAATTAAACTATATTGATATATTGGGAAAACAAGCTAGGTATTTAAAATATTTTATCTAACTTTTTCTATCATAAAATTTATGGAATGATGACACTTCATTATTGTTTGAAAGTTTTTAAACATTGATTGAGCACAACTTAGAGTAATTTTTAAATGTCAACAAAGTTTTACTAAGTTTTGTTGTGTTAATTTCTCCTTGGAATAGGATTGAATTTAAAGTTTCAATATTAATTGTAAAGAGGCTGGATATGATAGTAAAGTGGTTAAAATGTTTTTGCAAGCAATTGGGGAAATGGAGGTGGCAGGTTGAGTAATTATGGAGGATGGCAGAAATGAGCACAGTTAGATAAGTGATAAGTATATATTCTTACTCAAGTGTCATAGAGGGATGTAATTATTGGGGATGATTGATAATGGCACACTGAGTGAGGCTGTTGCATTAGTTGGATCGGTGCAGAAATGGCAAATTAAAGGGAGGATTAATTGTGGTATTACTATATATTAAGAGCTAATCAAAAGCTAATTGGTGGATATATATAGTAGTAACAAATGGCATGTTTATGCTTGGAGTGAAGATAGAAAAAAAATCATTTCTTGTTGGTATTTTTCAAATGCTAAAAAAAAAGAATAGGAGGAAAAGGTGATTTAAATCATTACAAGTGAAATGATTCAAATTATAATGCTTACTAAATTTCTATCCTTAATTAATTATAATGCTTTAATTTTCAATTAAGCATCATTTTTTATTGCGTAGCCATTAATGAAGTATTTTAAACTTGAAATATATCCTTTTTAGGAACCATTAGGCTATTTCAACTTAGCTACAATATTTATTCATTGAAAATATGAACAAAGAGAAAATACTATATATACCTAAATCAACGTCAATAATTGATAATTAAAAATGTTTTTTTTATAGGAGGGGTAGTACAAGATAGTTGTAGGCAAAGTCGATACGAAAATAATTAGTGATGAAATTAGGATAAAATTTAAGGTAAATTTCCTTCGAACCCTATGAAAATAGAATTGAAATTACAAAACAAAAAATAAAATAAACATTTAGAGCCCTGTGAAATAGTAAATCCCGTTTTGTAGATCAACTATATATATAAAAAACAATTAATAATGACATTAAAACATAAAATAAATTTTTTTTATAGAAATATGACTTTAGCATAAAGATATAAAAAATATAACTGGTGCTAAAATTTGAATTTTAGACTTATTAAATATTACTTTTTAAAAGTAGTTAATTAAATTTTGGATTCAAATAAAATATTTTAATTAATAAACAATGAAAATTTTATTAAAAAGCCTATTTAAATAAAGTATTTAAAACTTAATTAATTACTTGGATTTTGGTAAACATAGGCAACACATATAAAGATGGAGGCTAAGAAGAGAATTCAAAACAGAATTCTATATTATGGAAAAGTCAGGCTTCCACTTTATTTTCATTGTCATAGGCAACATAATGGAAGCCTAAGAAGAGATAAGAACTAATCATCATCATTATAAAAGTTAAAACCAAAAATGTTCCTATAAAAAGAAGGAATTTAATACAATTGGAAGGGCATCCATCTTATAATCATATAAAATGTGAAATAATTCTTAACTTGCATTATTTCTTTAAACATAATATCATGCCCAAAGAAATTTTTGCTGACATTATTGATGGTTTTAATTTCCAAAAACACATTCACCAGCTGCTCTTGTTTATTAGATTTTATCAAACTCAATAGCCATTTTTTATTCATTCTTTTGAAAACTGTTAGGAAAAATATAATGCTTTCCTTATAATTTTCTTAGTCTATATAAGAAATGAGAAATTATCAAATACATTGATAATCGAATTTTTAAATTTCACAAATGGAATTAATAGAATGGCACATATTGTTTAGGATATATTTAAAAAATTAAAAATAAAACAAGATGTGCGTTAATTTTTTAATATCGCTTGTAGAATTAAAAATTTACATTAATTTTAAAAATTCAGTAAAATTTTTTTCGATAATTGGTTTATAATCTATTAAAATCCCTATCCAGTTCATGAATTTCTTTGTAGGTACAAAAAGAAAAATCGAATGAGACCAACTATACTCTTTTGGTATTTTAAAATTAATTGTTTTTATTAATGGAAGTTACATGTATAGAAAAAATAATAATAATTAACCAACTTTTAACATACATTTGATATAAGAAATCCAAAATAAATCAAAACGAACAAATTAAAATTAAATTAAATTAAATTTACATAAAGTGGGACTTATATATAGCATCTAAAAGTGTGAACAATATAATTATTCATCGGAAATTTTCATTAATAATCCATCAATACCATTAATATTAATCATGTTAATTCTTTTTTTGTTTCATCGATAATCTGTGCATAATCTATTGATTCAAAAGGCTTTATTGCCTTTTAAAATAATTGTGTTTATCTTGCCACAAACTTTACTATGCAATTAAAGTCAAATTCAATCTTTTGATTCAATATTTTCTTCCCAACTTTCTTATAAGAACATAAACCTCAATTGTACTTCAAGATAACTATCAAGATTCAAGAATAACTTTTGAGGATGCATGAAATTACACTATTCCCTACAATTTTGCCCGTTTGGCAATGGAACATCGAATAGAAATAAATTATGAGAATATATCACCTACAATAATTATAATTCAAAATTATGTGAGATCCATCAAAATTTTATATGACACCCATATTCATAAGTAGTGAATTCTTACATAAATCTTTATTTTGATTAAACAATTGTAGCATTATAATAAAAAAATTATAGATAATATGCTTTTATAAATTATCTAGCGCAATGAGAGGGATTCCCCACAATAGTGTCTGGTCTAACTATTATTTACAATGAGAAAAGGAGAAAGATAAGGAAAAGGAGAAAAAAAAAAAAAAGTCAAGGGAAATTGGAGGGTGAGGAAAGAAAGCCTAAGGTCTAGTTTAATATTATTGTTGAAAACAGTTTTTGCGTTTGCTTTTAATCCAATCTCAATGTTAAATGATAAAAAAAAAAAAAAACTTTTTTTAGTTTAAAAAGCCTTATTTTATAAGCCAAACTAAAAATCTACCAAGGAAGGTGCTTTTATGAGATAAAAATTACTATATTATTTTATTTTTTTAATATTTTAATATTTTATATCTTTTAAAAATTTCAATTACTCACAATACTTTTTTTATAATAATACTAAACACTTAAAATTTTTAACCACTTGTTTTTATCACATCTTTCAAGTGTATTTTTTTTCAACTTAAACTTTTTCCAATCACAATAACAATACTAAATTAACCCTAACACACAAATTCTCTCTCATCTTATTAATTATCCCTTTTCGTTTTCAATATATTAGGAAAAGGCTTCCATAGAGATTTTAAGATCAAAGCTTCTTTCAATCAAATTCATTCCCAAAAATTGTTGAACTTCATTTATGTTTTCATCGTCTTTAATATGAAATATATATATATATATATATGTAAAAAAGTTT